TTCACGACAAAAGGCGAAGATGACGGCTGTCTCGCTTACCTCTTCGTAGTCTGCGCCGTGACGCAACTTTTTACGATCATACTTCACCGGCTTGTTTGTTCGATTTATGAGATGATCAAGCAGGTCGAATGTCATGCGAAACAGCCGTTGCAAGAAATGCAGTCTTTGAACCCTTCCACCCTGAGGTTCGTTCGTAGCGATCAGTTATCCTAAACGACGACGAAGACCGAACTCGGTTCCATATCAGCTGCCCGACAACCCTTTTCGGTGTTTATTAATGCTATGCAGGGATATGCTTCTTTCCGTTGCCAGCATCCGCATATATACAACGTACAACTGAAAAATAATTGTCACGTAATGCCTGTGGAACGCAAGAGATGACACTGCGGCAGAACGTTTAAATAAGGGTACGAATTAAGACCGGTACCACTGATTTTCTTTAGAGCCAAGTTATTGTTTTTGGGATAATGCTGTTTCCTCGTATAGCGGTACAGTGACAGACTGAACTAGCATAAGCCATCTGCATAACGGTCTTTATCGCGCGATCGTATTGCAGTCGTTCAAATCTTACGATTTCTCCGGTATATCCCCACAGTAGTGCAGAATCACCTCCTGTTAAGGCTCAGAAATATGTTGCAGAGGCATAAATGTTAATTGGCATTATACAACACATTATGAATCGCCAGCACAAAGCAAAAAGGGTTCCACGCAAGTGTAAGCGACGAAGGTAGTAATTAGCGTTCCTAACCTTGTTATTGAGGTAATCATGTGATCAAACCGTGTTAGCCTGTCATTAACGATATCATCGAAATGCTTTACATTTGAACCCGGGTGACCGGCTTCTGTATAAGATTGGTTTCTTCTCTGACAAGGTTGACTAGATCGTGGTTCCGTCTGTTTAGATGAATAAAGATTCACCCCACTCCACTTTAAAAATGGGTCATTGAGATTCATTTTCACTATTCGTACGGTGCTAACGCTTCGTATTCATTACATAAGTATTTTCCATCATCCTTCAGTTTTCAAAAGTTAGCCTTTATGATTCGGTAGACTCAAGACTGCTTCCACCTCGTTGGTTCAGTAAAGCAGTGGAGCCGTTTACGATGCATGGGATACGTACGATACAATGTTTCAACTAAACTTTACGGAATGCCGCTGCAGGTCGCTTCTAATCTTTCACCCATCCTTAGAGAGAGACAATGTAAAGCAGATAATAATGCAGTACAAATCGTTTCTATCGGAGCAGCTTCACTATGGAGCTTATAGCCTCGATGGTTGAAGTTGCTTCATAACTTCGTTCCAGTGCAAACTTATTTCCTAACTAACATCTTTATTCTTGCACTGGCTTGGTTGCATTACCAGCGCTTAAAAATCACCATCCGGCTTAAAATTTCTTGTGTTTTCCCTTCATTTTGTCCCATTATATGCATTGTATTTTTTATTGCTTGTCCTACGCCCGCTGAGTTGTTTTCGCATACCTTTACATTCCGATCTTTAGTTTTTCTTCGTATTTTCCTCTTTTGTGCTTGTCAGTTCTGATGTCGATCGACGCTGCTCCATCTTATCAGGTTACAACAGTATTCTTCAACTTTTCTGTGGTTTTGCCTGTTTCTCCTATGTAAGTGAGACCTCTCTCGCAAGGTAGGGTGTGAATTTTGGGCGCGATGGTTTTATATGCATCACCTTGCTCCGTAGTGTGGATCATGAATGATTTTTGGGATCTGAGTATCAACAGAATTCCACTTTCGGGCAATACTTTACAGATTCTCGCTCAGATGTTGTACGTACAGCACAGTAATGTTGGTATCTAATTTCTGTTCGCTTCTGTTGCTTTGCGTGCTGCACCTCTCTTGCTGATTGTTAATTGCTTCTTTTATTAGCTGTATGGGGTAGCCACTGCTTCTGACAGCCCTCCGGATGTGAGCCAGTTCCCTTTGGAAACCACTGTCGTCTGAACTGATTTTGAAGCACCTGCTGGTTAGGATGCTGTAGATACTTTTCTTCATGAAATATGCATGTTGGTTTGTAAAACATCTCACTAACGTACTTGTTCTCCATCCAGTAACGGTTCACAAAATCTAGCAGGAAAGCAGGTAACATGATTCTCGTGTATATTTTAAAGACGGAAGCCAGCTTAAGCTTAGGTGGTTTTCTTTGGTCTTGCTGACGAGGTACACCCATCTGATGCACCTCTGATATCTTTTGTCGAATGAATGCGACGTTCTTATATCACTTTGATAGCCTAAGTTGTATATTGATAAAGGGCATCGGTCATAAATGCATCATATATACAGCTGTCATAGTAAATTCAAGCCCACAGCAACATGCTCACAAACTACAAGTTTGGTTTTTGTAGAGATGAGCAGTTTGGTGAGAATGCACAAAGCGCTAGAAGGTAATGATTAAGACAGTCTAGCTGTCAACATCAAAATTGCCCAGATGTCAACAAAACTGACATTGTTTTTCGGAGAAAAAGAAGCAGGAGACGAGGGTGCATGAGAAAGAGGATGAGAAAGTAAAGCAGAAGTTGAAGGTAGCAAAAACAAAAGCAAAAAAGTGACAGGAAACGAAGAGGAAAAAGATGCATAAGAACAGTCTTCTAATTAGGTGATTATAAGCACACGATCGAGAGTTAACTCTCAGAGGTCTGTTTTTTTATGCTGTCCTGCGTTGTTTAGGGTGAAATCTTGTTTGCGAAACGTCACTTCGTATTTCAGATTCGCAATGGGAATATTACGTAATAACTTGACGTGTCGTTCTGATTCTCATAGTGTTGCACATCCTGTTTCACATTACATTCTCTGTCAGAATTAAAGTT